ATTATCCACAGAAGAATTTCTGTCAGTTTTAGATGTACACATTAGTATAACTTAGTGCGTAGACCTGTAGCAAGTTATTCTCAGCGAAACCCTCATTTATAGGCTTTGCAGGGGCTGTTAACAAAGCAGCATCTTCATAATCCGACCTGCAGCTCTGAAGTGCACCTAGTCATCAGCAGAGCCTGACATTTTCCATCTGTGTCCTGTGTTCCTATGCAGATTTTGTTTTGTGATCTCTTTGAGTCCTACTGAGATCACTTGTTGATTACTTATGCTGGAATTTATGTGATGTTTACGGTACATCTTGAGGTAGTGGTAGTTTATTTTATCATCTGGAAAATAAAATTAACACAGGCCTTTAAATATCAAGGAAAGCAGAGTAAAGGCTCTCAGCCTTCATTATATTTATCCACTGTGCTTCATCCTCCTGTACAATCCCTTCATCCGCTGTCCCAGAGGGATGAATTAAGAGCACGAGCTTCATTGTAGCTTTATCGGGTGAAGCTGTGTCCTCGACGAAGTCAAGAGCAGAAATTCCACAAAATTCATTTGGGCCACATTTTCACTGTTGGTTTTTGCTGCTTAGTTGCAACTTGAATACTGTTAAAATATGTAGTGCTCTTCTGTGGATACTTTTAGGCAAAGAATGGCTGAAACTTGGCCAAGGTGTAGGAGCTTACAGGGCAACACAGGACCAGGGAGGGAAGCACACTGTTTGCGGTCAGATAGCATCATTCAGTCTGTGTTTAGAATGCAGCTTTAGGTATGAGAGCAAGAATAAACTTGAGTATTGTACAATAACATTGTATTAATAATAGCACTAGAAATAAATACTTGCCAGAATGGGGCCAGTTCATAAATTTCTTTTAAATTTCAAAAAACTGCTTATTTAGAATATACGGAACTGTAATTCCAAAGTTTCTGCATAGTTTATCTCCTCCTACTGCCTTGGCTTTAAATCAAGGAAAGAATATTTTATAGAGGATTTATTTGTAGTTAATGTTAGTTGTATAGCTATTGCTGCTCTAGGCTGTATTGTGTTCCCCTAAATCATGCAGATAGTGCGTCTGTTATTTAAATGTGAATATCTGACAAACATATTACAGACCTAAGAGTGATTAGAGCACGATGCCTAGAATGAGTAAGTGCTTTGGATCTCTGCCTCTGTTGCAAACGAATCCTGAATCAAGGTTTCTGGCTGAAAATACAGCTTTAAAAAACCAAAACCCCTCTACCCCTTTGTACTTTTTGTATTCTACTCAGCAGGTCTGCAACAGTCGCTGGATGTTAGAGGAGCTCAGTCAGTAAGAACTTTCAAGAAAGGTTTTATTAATGCATGCCTAGTATTAAAATGAACTATGTTTGAATGTGTGCATAAGTTTTTAGCTTTGTTTTTCTTTAATTAATCTCTTAAGTCTAGCAGTTGTTATAAGGAAAAGCAATAATGGAAATCCGGAGTGAATCCTGAAAAACACAATTCAGTCCATAGAAGAATTACACCTACAGAGTAGACATTTGGACGTAAACAGAGTAAAAGGAACGTTTCTTAGGTCCCTAAGTATATTTCACACGTTTCCTGGGAGTGGGTGAAGAAAACCTATTTGCCTTTGAGGTTCTGCAGCGCAAAACTGGTACCAGAGCTGTACACAACAGGAAATTCAGATGCCTAAGCAGTGAGTTTCTTTGGAGTTTAAGCCAGAAGAAAGCCATTTCTATACCCCTGTGGTTGCAATGATGATTTTCACAACTGGAAACTAAGTGGCACAATTTTGTCTTCCTGAGACTATGCTGTTCTGCTGCTGCTCAGCCTTTTTCATTGCCGATGAAATTAATAAGTAGCAAGGCTCTTTAGTGTCGCTGCTGTGTTTCAGGTGCCTGTGGACAGCAGAGAGGCTGGTAGGAATTGCACTCACTTTCCCTGCCAGCAGCAGAATTAGGCTGCAGCCATCACCAGCACAGGCAGGAAAAGTTGTTTCATTAGCACTTCACATTCGTCCACCTCTCTTTCATCCCACTTTCTTTTCTAACAGTGTCTGGTTAATAACTTTTAGCTCTCTGAGATAAGAGTACTGAATAAACTTTCCTGGGATATTTAAATGCAGCACCCTGGTGAAATGGGGTAATTTAAACAACACACAAAGCCTTAGTTGATGCTTTTTTGTAGCTGCATGTATGATATTTTATACCAGCAGCCCCACAGGTACAAAGCCTCCCTGTCTGGCCACGTAACCACCCGGTCGTTACTCCCCCCGCTCCCTGTGCTGGCCCGGGTGGACATTTCTGCCCTGGCTCTTCACCAGGTCTTTGATTTTCTTTGTAGGCATGGCTGAAGCTCACTGCCAGTCACAGCATAGTTCCATTGACTTCAGGGCACTTGGCCACGTATATGCTTGCAAACAAGCACTCTTGTTCTCTCAGATGAACATGCATGCACACTGGGGTTTTTTTTTTTCCCCTCCTTCTTCTTTTTTCCTTTTAAGTGTGGTGTTGAAGCCAATGTGGATGCTTAACCTCCTAAGCAATGCTTGCTGGCATTGATCAGGGCTGTCCTGAGTGAGGAAGCTGTTAAGTGCAGGTGAAAGACTTCCAAAAGCAGCCTCGGGTCCGATGCCTTGGTTCCCACAGCTCCGATCCATAGCGGTGCATGGAGCTGCTCGCCAGGAGAATGGAGTTGGCAGCTGTCCTCCGGGGCAGGACTGTGGTGGCCTTTAATGACAGTGGCCGAGGAGGAAACGGAGAGTTGTGGTCTTGCTTATTCAAGTGGTATTAACTCAGCTGGGTGACAGTGTTGTTTAGTACAGAGAATTGGGGTTTTGGTTGTTTTGGGGATTTTCTTCTTCCTGACAAGACCCCTGCTCTCGCATAGATTTGATTTCTGCACACAAGTATCAAATACACACACCAATGGGGATTTTACAAGCACTTAGCCATCAAGCTCTGAGCTGGCGATGTGGAAAGATTTGATCTGTGTGTACGGAAGAGAAATGCGTGTGTGCAGATGGGTGTTGGAATTGCCTTCAGCGCATTTGGAAATTTGATACTTAATTTCAAAATAGTACCAATAAATATGTTGATTCAAATGAGGAAAGTGAGCTTTTTCTCTTTCAGAAAGACTTAGTTAAAATTCAGGAAGTCAAACTGCTGAGGAGTTAGCGCTAGGATTTATAAAACAACATTGAAAGGGAAGCTTAATTAACATTTCACTACCCTTTCAATTGCGCTGAATGCGTGTCTGGTTTATCACCCACCTAAATATGTTAGTTTGTATTTGAAGAATGCTTGTGACAGTGAGCCTTCAGGAGAAGGCTCAGCTTTTTCCTATAATCTGATTATAGCATTTATATATTTTATTTGCCTACTTTGACCTTGGATGACTTAGAGAGACTATTCAATGTATATATCATGTATTTCTGGGAGTCAGTACTTGAAGTAGTTTTCTTTTTACTCTTAATGTACCTTTAGCTGGAATTTAATCTTTTTGTGGGTTTTTTTGGTCTAAACAATATACTGATGGCACACCCTATATTAGTAAGTTGGCTGTTGATGGGTGAGCACGCACGGCATGGCAGTACACATGAAAGCAGGTCATCCCTGGGAAGGATGCTGCTCTGCGTTCCTTAGGATGAGTGAAGAAGTAGCCGCTGCTTTTCTTTCTCTCTCTCCCTGAAGAACACAGCGATAACAGAAATGGGATATTAAAAAGGGCAGCATAGATTAATGGGGCAGTAATAAAACAAATGAGACCCATTAGCTAAATCACTGCTTGAAAAGTAGATTCCGTGATAAGTGCCCTTCAGTGCCTCATGTGGGAAAAATTGTTACAGCACTTGTAACATCATCCATGGTGTTGGATTTTAGACTGTTGTAACAATCCTAAGTGATAGGATCTTAAAATAATTTGGATGAAGGTAAACTTCATTTGCACTTAGTGCTTGGTAGAAAACTTGAATGATTATATCCAAATGTGAAGACAAGTTGTTTTCTTTCAAACCCAGTCAGAATGCTTTGCATGCTCCCAAAATCTTGCATCAAAAAACAAAGCCTTTTTTTGTTGTTCTGTTAAGCCTGTAAGGTGATCACGAGAACTTGGAAATCCTTGTTTTACTACTGGAGCACCGGTGCTTTGGGAACTAATGTTCAAACAGACTTTGATCTGGACTAGGTGGCTTTAGCAAGATCTCCTACTTTTTAATTGTTGATTTTATATTAGATTAATGATGAAACATGTGAGTTGCACTTAAAAAACCACATGTCTCTGTTTGCTCTCTGCTTTTTAGACCAGATTGTTTTCTGAACCATAAAAAAGGAAAATACACTTATTTTCTTAGATTTACAGAGTACGTTGCCTGTAAGGAGAAGAATGTTTGGGGTTTAGAGATAAAATGTGTACACAAATCAACTAATCAAAGGCAAAGATATTAGTTTGAAAGTGCTCTTTCGTTGATCTTCAGGAGATAGATGGGTCTAAGTCTCTGAATTGACACATTTTGCTTCCCTTTTTCCCTCCAGAAATACACAGCTGTATCGTGGTGGGGTTTAATTTTTTTAATTTTTTTTCTTTTCCAGTGTAATTTTGTTAAATCCAAGCTTAGGCTGTAAGCAACGAGCAATACGTGTCTCGTAAGGTGCACAGGGGTGCAGAGCGAGAGGGGGGCACGGGCGCCCCGAGCGCCGCCTCCCCCGCGGCAGCGCCGGCGGCTGCATCCCGTCCGGCGGT